CCCCATCGGAAGGCTCAGGTATGTGAACGGCGTAGTACCAACAGACCACTGGAAAATGGCAGCCAATTCCATGGTAGTCAGATCCAAAATGTTTATGGGTACCAAAAATGATTTCTGAAAGCTGACCTTGAGACTGATAGACTCAGCATAATCCAAGAGCAACTCCTTCATGAGTGTAGCCTGTCTAACGCATGCTAGCAAATACGAGTGGTAACAGGGGGCACCCTGTCGTACAGATCTACAGCAGGCAAATTGACGGCCGGGTACACCATTGAGTAATACCGAGAACTAGGAGGTCAGTGATTGGAAGATGCATTTGATCCACCAGAAACCATTTGTCGTCAAAGCCCATGTGTCGCATGATCTCAATCATTGAGTGTTCTTTTTACAACTGTGGGTTGTACAGCAAACGTGCCTAGCATGTGTGTTGTAACGTTTTAAATATTTGTGCCCAGCATTCCGAGGAAGCTGGCTATTTGCTCTTCACACTTTTAACAACAAATTAGTGAATGATGAAGTCCTTAATTAAAATATGCTGTCACAGCTTACATTTAGCCTAGCTACAGTTCCAATGATTTGTGAAATAGAGTGGCTGGCACTGAATATCATTGTTCGGCTAGGAATCCTCAGCGTTGTATTGGCGTACCTTTGGAAGATCCGGCACTGAATACCTTCTCCGTTTGCGACCTCGGGGGTTATCAACTTGTCGACCCGGCGAGCCCTTTCGTTTAGCTGCTGAAGCAATCGACATACCTAGGACAAGACACATCATCCATGGTCATGATTTCATGAATAGTGCAGACATTAACATAAAGAAAACAACAAACTAGTAGTGTTTTCAATATGTAATGTACGCTGGGTGTGCCGTCTCGAACCGTAATATTGTGTCACCATTTGGTCAGTGAGTCAGTTACTTACCAGTGCGAATTGGGGTTAGAAAAGAGATGTATAGTTTACTCAAAGAGATAAATATCTTGATATCCAGACATACAGCAGGATTATATATCCAAACAGCAGAAAGAGTAAAAATCGAGTCTTTTATGCATAATACTCCCTCCGTTCCGATTTACTCGTCGTGGTTTTAGTTCAAAATTGAACTAAAACCATGACGAGTAAATCGGAACGGAGGGAGTACTACGTAGTATGTCTGCACAAGAAACAACTTAGGCGACGCGACGGGAGGGAGGGGCAATATCCGACTTACTACGGGATTTGATTTTCCGGTGGCGCCGATCCTGCCGCATGGACATCAATCGGCTGAGCGCCATCAGACCCATGACACCCTGCTGAAGCGGGCACGAGAAATCGGGGCAGAGGTTTTGCCCCCCTCTCTCTGTCTATTTGAACCCGGCAAAGGTGACCGCCTTCCCGCCGTCCCAGGTTACAATTTCGATTTTGAATCGGACGAAGGCAATTCGCGGGAGAGGAAACCGGATCGGCGCCGCCGCGCACTATGGCAGGACTCAGCGGCGTGAACCAAACCCTATAGGCTAGCTTCGCGAGTAGGCCTTGCTGGGCCTCTACCTCGTCCTGGAAGCCCGCATTTACCAGCCCATCTAAGAGGCCCAGCGGCAATATGACTGGACCGGTATTTTGTTTCTCACAAAAAAAAACAGTGAAATCATGAGTTATTAGTTGAGGAAATAATCTTTGCAAAGGTTATCATCAAATCCTCTGATGGGGACAAGTGGCACAATGCATGTATGTCATTTGTTGTCAATAAAAACCAAGAAAACCTAAAAGATAGGGGAAAAGAAGGGAAAACCGAAACAACAAAGAATCCAACAAAAAAAACGTCCTGATGGAGAAAGCGTCCAACATGTGGTGGCGCCACCACGTGGAGTGCTCCCACACAGTGAAAATGTTCATTGCATGTCACAGATGAATGACAAATTTCTATCTTTTATTTTGAAGCATTCCGATGCCACAAAAGAAAGAGGAAGAGAGCCCCCTCCTTCGTCTTCTTCCTTGACGTTCCCCTAGATAGGAGAAGGGTTTCCCATCTGATTCTTAGCGGCCATGGCTCTGAAGGACAACAATCCCCTCCGACATTGGATCTAACCTTCTCCGATAGAGTGCCAAAAAAGGACTAGATTTGTCCGCCACGGAACTGCCCGTGGCGTCAAAAAACCTTCAAAGAAAACAACAAGGGTTTTCGAGGTATTTATGATCCAGGGGTACAAGGGGCGGTGCAGGCGCCCACACGTCCTAGCCACCCTAGGCCCAGGGCGTGTGAGCTTGGGTGGCCACTCTGCTTGATCTTTGCCCCATCTCTTCATTCTTCGTAGAACACTTAGTTTTCAATTTCCCAAGAAATGATAGGTATTTTGAAACAATGAGTGCAGTATAGTTTTGTGATTAAATGAGAAATTCATTTATTAACCAAAAAGAGAGGCGATTAGATGGATTTATGGCCAAGATCATTAAAAGAACACTAGATTGGTCATCGATGACATCATTCTTGACAGTTTGGCCACCGCCAACAACTAACTGAACAATTAATCGCCTGAGATGGCCTTCTCCCACAATACTAAGCACGATAAAGTGCAGAAAAGAAACTATTTCAATCATTTCAAAACACAAGCATATTTTGTTGGTTGAGACAAGGCTTTGACTAACAATTACTTGCGGAGATGGTCACAAGAAACCAACAATCATCACATCGTCATAGAATCTCCAAGTCTTATTGCACTATTCAACTTGCTACGGATACAGTCCAAGGGGTGTTTAACTGAATTACACTGCTGTTTTCTTTTTAAGATATTTATTACACCATTTTGGGTTAAAAAACGGAGTTACATTGAACACCTACTCAAATGAGCAATGGCAACAACAAGCAATACATCATGGGACCGGAGTTTTAGGAGCTGTTTGGCAGTCCTCCAGCTCCCTGAAATCTGAGAATCTGTGGAGCTCCCTTTTCCCCGCTCCGTCATTTTTAGCTACAGCTCCACCAACTCCTGGAGCAGACTTGGGGAGCGGGAGAGTCTCCGAACATGCCCTTAGTTCCATCAACCTTCCACTATATACTTTGCATAGTTATGATAAGTTGTATTTTTATGATATTTCTTATGATGCATAGTCGAACATAAAGAATTGACACGGTTAATAAAATGATAGGTATTTTGGAACAGTGAGTGTAGTATAGTTTTGTGACTAAATGAAAAAATCATTTCTTTTTTTTAGGCAAAGAAATTCATTTCTATTAACCCAAGAAAGAGGTGATTAGATGGATTTCTAGCCAAGATCATTAAAAGAAAACTAGATTGGTCATTGATTACATCATTCATGACATTTTGACGCCCGCCAACGACTAACTGAACAATTAATCCCCTGAGACGGCCTTCTCCCACAACACTAAGCACGATAAAACACAGGGTGTATTTTGTTGGTTGAGACAAGACTTTGACTAACAATTACCTGCAGAGATGGTCACAAGAAATCAACAATGTTCGCATCATCATAGATTCTTCAAGTCTTATTGCACTGTTCAACTTGCTACGGATGCAGTTCAAGGGGTGTTCAACTGAATAACACTATTGTTTTTTTTTAAGATATTCATTACACCATTTGGGGTTAAAAACGGAGTTACACCGTACACCTAATCAAATGAGCAATGGCAACAGCAAGCAATACACCATGGGACCGGAACTTTAGTTTCATCAACCTTCCACCATGATCTTGCTGCTAGTCCCCCAGTCAATGTCGTTCTGAAGCATGAAGGCTGATATTGAACTTTGCTGTTTTGTATCAAATAGATGATTCATGACGATTTTCATACAAATTCTCGTGTATAAACGAAAACAAATGAGCTCATGGTCACCTGGATCATCAAACGGCGTTTAGACAATTGCTCGTAGACCTCATACTTGGGAATCGCAAAATCATCTCCAGCGCCCTAGCAGTATGTTGTACAAAACAATACCCCCTCCATTCACAAGTATAAGATGTTCTAACTTTTATCCGAATCGGATGTATATAGACATATTTTAGTGTGTTTGTTCACTCATTTCAGTCCGTACGTGGTCCATATTAAAATACCCAAAACATCTTATATTTTGAAAGGAATAGCAAATACTATGATACTGCTGAACATAAAACAAAAGGTCCACATGTATTGAAATTATATCATAGTACATGCCAAGGAAATTAGTTGTCATCAGGGCATATCAGATTAAGTTACCTGCCAAGTTGCAGTACCATCGTCTGGATTTTTTTTTTAATTTATGCATGCAATGCCAAGAACAGAAAAGGGGCAAACAACGATGATGTCAGAGTTGGTACTATGAAGAAGACCGGTTTAATTAACCACATATTCAGGAGGCTTTCCACCTTCCAAGCATTTCACCATCCAACAATTTTTTAAACATCTAAAGGAAAAATACCAAGAAGACTAGATAACAACGGCGTTAGGACAGTGAAGAAACCTATACTTTGGACTCCGTTTTTGTATACACCCTGTACAAGTGGCAGCAGTGGATATCCTATGTGTTCACCTGGGAGTTCCAGCTCAGTCACAAGAACACAGGTCATGACAAGATTGCCTAGCCCACACCCCACCATCCACAATTCTCTAGCCAGGATTCCAAAATAGGTCTTCGTATTCTCCGCGGATGCCTATATTGAACTCCAAATGTGACCAGGATTATTGTGATTTACATCACTCGCTGGATGCGATGACAACAATAATCGCACCAAGGCGAACTATAAGGTTCATTGTAAAATATAGTTACCATAGCCGATGCTAATCTGAACTAAGTTCTCTATGTCCCCTTCTTGGTGTTCTTTGCTCCAACCTCCCTGGTTTGTCCTACTTTGGCATGACCAAGGTGTGACAAAGCCAAGCCCAACAAATACCAAGCAGAAGCACATGCCGTATCTATAAACACATTTGCTAGGGGGGACTGGCATGAACTGCTTAAGCCATATGCTACTTCCTTTCACCACCTAAGAGAGGAGGGAGGGAATGGGCTCACGGTCACAGCGATGCGGTTCTTGCTATGTCAAAGCAATCATCAGCAGGCTCAAGCCCAGATGCCTTGGAGGGAAGCCGCAGCGTTGCGAGAGCGGCGCCAGATGCGTTGGAGGGAAGCCGCAGCGTTGTGAGAGCGGCGCCAGATGCGTTGGAGGGAAGCCGCAGCGTTGTGAGAGCGGCGCCAGATGCGTTGGAGGGAAGCCGCAGCGCTATGAGAGCAGCATAGTCAAGGCAGAAGTAAGGCACGATACTCTTCAGGATATTCTGTACTCTCAGCAGAGCTTCGAGGGGGATGAGATTGGGGCACCATCACCTCGGAGGCATTCCCCGAAGGTTCGTCCGCTTAACCTGGATTGCCCTTACGGGGACAACTCCCCCAATATCCAGGATAGCTTCTCCATCGACAGGGTTACTCTGAGGAGCCAACGCAGCGTAGCCAGGAGAGTCAGCTTCAGATCTCCTGATCACTCAGACATATTCATCATTCCCGCACGCAACGATCCTGCTGGTTATTACTCCAGTGATGAGGAATCCACAGAGAGTATAAGTGAAGAAGGCATTGGTGCAAAGAGGCCTCCTTGTGCCATAACCAGATACTAAAAGGCCTGCTATCTGGTGCAACATCAAAAATCAAAACAGGCAGGCTGGAAGAAAAGGGGCTCACAACAAACAAGCTCGTTGCTCAGGCTATTTCTTTACAGAAGATACTTATATGGTACTGAAGCAATAGAAGTATGTGTCTTGATAGTTGGTTTACCCAGGAATATGATATTTGCCACTTTAACGCCTAATATACTTCATGCAGTAGTATATGTACTTTTGTGTTTCTTGCCCTTCACTTTTTCAATGTATTGTATTTTTTCCAACTTGCTGTTCTGAACTGAAGTGTATCTAAGAAAAAGGTTATGTACCGTACAGAATATCCTACATATGCAAGTACAAAAGCACTTCTTCCATAAAAATACTCATTAAGCTGTACAAGGTTTATTTTCTAAGACTAGGGGCAAAAGATAAGAGATGCGCACATATGACCTCATAAAACAGCCATATCTATAAGATACATTCGTCAACAAAGTGGCAGTTCCTAATGTGAACATACGTTCAGTGGATCAGGATGAGAAACACCAGGTGTGCTACTTCTGTACACTTAGCTATATTCAGATTTGAAGCCTTCTGTCAGAGCAACAACCTTCGAAATTAACTTTGGCTGTAGCCTGGAAACAGCTTTCCGAATATCCTATAAAATGATAGTTTTGGTCAGATATGTAGCGTTTTCACAACAGTTTGATAGTTCACTGGCTACATACCTCAAGACTATATCGATTCGAGAAATGGGTGAGTATAATTGCCTCATTTCTAAACCACTGGGAATGCTCCATTATCTAGGAACCATAAAATGGGTTTATGTTAGTGACTGATAGTACATCATATGCAAATATCTCCTCATCATCAGAACTGTCCCAAAGCTCATTAGGATGGCTAGGGGGTGTCCGTATGGGAACCATTACCTCAGACAGATGCATGTGGCCATGCTCTCGGGCATGATCAACATCAACTTGGTCATCTAGGAAGGTTGCCTGCCAAAATTTTGAAAGATGTTGGCAACCAAATGATAAAATGTGCAGAACTGGAGGAAGTTCAGATAGCCTTTGGCATTTACACTGATGAACAAACTAGCAGAAATTATTATCCTACTCACCCCGTTTCTTTTTACTCCGCGTATTAGATTTGTCCAAGGTCAAACTTTGTAAGGTTTGACCAGATTTATATTAAAAATATTGACATCTACAATACCAAATAAATATTGACATCTATGAATGTGATACTTGTACTCATATATAAGCAACAGTACAATGTTACGGAGCCCACTTTCTAACATCTATCGGTATGTGATGGGAAGAACGCCATCCTATTATACTATTAATCACTGTCCATCTATTTGCTTCTTAACCCAATCCCATGCTCCGTGATAGTATCAAATCACAAATGTGGCCAGTTTCATGGCATTCCACATTTTCTTTCCTTTTTATGTTACCTAATAATGTAAGTACATCGGGGACAAACACTTTGGCCGTCTGTGGAGTGATGGGATAGAACTTGACACTACAAAGGTGTTTTCAGGAAAAGAAAATTCTGAACAAAGCAACACTAAAGTCAAAAAGTACCTCAGTTATAAGAACCTTTGCTCTCAGTGCATCCGCATTCCGTGGGTCAAGAATAAAATCAGATGTTGTATCTCCGGTAAAAGCAACTTCTGGGTACAGTATGGTATCTGTAATCTAATAAAACATACAGTGAGTTACAACATAAGAAACATTTCTGATTGAGAGTGCAACAAAAGCTCACCTCAGAGCCTGATTGCTTTAATTTTACTATTTGACTTCCCTTCAAGTGAGCATACTGTTTTTTCAGCTTTCTTCTAACAGAGTATATGACGTAGCCCTTCATGATATTCACAAGGAAAAAGATGGGACAATAAGCATTAAATTATGCTACATAACTGCATGGTGAGTAACTCTATTATTCAACTGAGTCAAGGAGCAGTACCTGGCTGGGTACAGTATGGTGAGTCTGAAGTGGTCTGGCAACAAGGTCATTGCGTATTTCATATGTTTCTCCTGAAAAAGAAATGCTGCACTTTAAGAAGTAAACAAGGAAAAATAAAAGGGCCAACGGTGAAATGATCTCCATACCCAAGTCAAGAGCAACTAATTCAACTTCCAGGTCAATTCGACTCATTCTACGATGGATCTGAAGCATCTCCTCAACATCATCCCTTATGCACGGAGGTACAAATACGGTTGGAGGCTTCAAATTGTAGAGGCCACGGGTTGCTATATACATTGGAAGACCACCCTGAAAAGTTATCAGTTTAGCACATAATAACCGATCTATTAGTGATCTTTCCCTAGTTCAAGGTAAGTCGGTAACTGGAGCATATGGGAGAACTGAAGTAGCAAACAACAGAGCATCTCACCTTACTTTGCATTCCAGCAGAGAAATAAGAGGTCATAATTAAGAAGCTATTGCTAACTGTCAAATGTGCAACTGATAGAGTAAGATGATTATATTTGATTATTTCAAACATTTTA